CAGAGTCTCTCATGGGTCCCTGTACGGCCTCCCATTGCTGCTGTCTCCATCGCCACACTCTGCCATGTGCCACATTCAGGTCTCTTCACACTGCTGTGTGTTTCAATTTTTTGACATAGGGTGCTGGCAGATTACGGGCCTCCCATAGCTGCTGCCAGGCCCCTAATCTGCCATGGGCCCCTATATATACCGCCTCCTCATGCTGCTGCCAAGTCCAGAGTCTCTCATGGGTCCCTGTACGGCCTCCCATTGCTGCTGTCTCCATCGCCACACTCTGCCATGTGCCACATTCAGGTCTCTCACACTGCTGCTGTGTGTTTCAATTTTTTGACATAGGGTGCTGGCAGATTACGGGCCTCCCATAGCTGCTGCCAGGCCCCTAATCTGCCATGGGCCCCTATATACCGCCTCCTCATGCTGCTGCCAAGTCCAGAGTCTCTCATGGGTCCCTGTACGGCCTCCCATTGCTGCTGTCTCCATCGCCACACTCTGCCATGTGCCACATTCAGGTCTCTCACACACTGCTGTGTGTTGAATTTTTTGACATAGGGTGCTGGCAGATTACGGGCCTCCCATAGCTGCTGCCAGGCCCCTAATCTGCCATGGGCCCCTATATACCGCCTCCTCATGCTGCTGCCAAGTCCAGAGTCTCTCATGGGTCCCTGTACGGCCTCCCATTGCTGCTGTCTCCATCGCCACACTCTGCCATGTGCCACATTCAGGTCTCTCTCACACTGCTTGTGTGTTTCAATTTTTTGACATAGGGTGCTGGCAGATTACGGGCCTCCCATAGCTGCTGCCAGGCCCCTAATCTGCCATGGGCCCCTATATACCGCCTCCTCATGCTGCTGCCAAGTCCAGAGTCTCTCATGGGTCCCTGTACGGCCTCCCATTGCTGCTGTCTCCATCGCCACACTCTGCCATGTGCCACTTCAGGTCTCCTCACACACTGCTGTTGTGTTTTCAATTTTTTGACATAGGGTGCTGGCAGATTACGGGCCTCCCATAGCTGCTGCCAGGCCCCTAATCTGCCATGGGCCCCTATATACCGCCTCCTCATGCTGCTGCCAAGTCCAGAGTCTCTCATGGGTCCCTGTACGGCCTCCCATTGCTGCTGTCTCCATCGCCACACTCTGCCATGTGCCACATTCAGGTCTCTTCACACTGCTGTGTGTGTTGAATTTTTTGACATAGGGTGCTGGCAGATTACGGGCCTCCCATAGCTGCTGCCAGGCCCCTAATCTGCCATGGGCCCCTATATACCGCCTCCTCATGCTGCTGCCAAGTCCAGAGTCTCTCATGGGTCCCTGTACGGCCTCCCATTGCTGCTGTCTCCATCGCCACACTCTGCCATGTGCCACTTTCAGGTCTCTTCACACACTGCTGTGTGTTGAATTTTTTGACATAGGGTGCTGGCAGATTACGGGCCTCCCATAGCTGCTGCCAGGCCCCTAATCTGCCATGGGCCCCTATATACCGCCTCCTCATGCTGCTGCCAAGTCCAGAGTCTCTCATGGGTCCCTGTACGGCCTCCCATTGCTGCTGCTGTTTCCATCGCCACACTCTGCCATGTGCCACATTCAGGTCTCTTCACACTGCTGGTGTGTTGAATTTTTTGACATAGGGTGCTGGCAGATTACGGGCCTCCCATAGCTGCTGCCAGGCCCCTAATCTGCCATGGGCCCCTATATACCGCCTCCTCATGCTGCTGCCAAGTCCAGAGTCTCTCATGGGTCCCTGTACGGCCTCCCATTGCTGCTGCCAGGAGGCAGCAGGGTCGCAGCAGTGTCAGTGGAGGCAAACGGCCACGGAGTAGAGCACCAGCTCCACTGCAGCCTACCTACCACCACGGCCAGTAGTGGTGCCGGTGTGCACGGAGGAAGTAGCAGTCAGCCAGTGAGGAGTAGAGGAGGCAAAGTTTCCTACTCTGCGGTGTGGCAATTTTTCGTCAAGCCGCCGCCCGAGGAAGTAAACGTAGCCGTATGTCGACTATGTGGCCAGAAAGTCAAGCGTGGCCAGGGGGCCCATGTTGGGACTACAGCGTTGCGTCAGCATATGCAGCGTCGCCATTCGGTGGCCTGGGAAAACCGTGATAAAGATACGGCGGTTCTGCCTGCCCCAGCCCAGGGTTCCATTTTGTCATAGGGTGCTGGCAGATTACAGGCCTCCCATAGGTGCTGCCAGGCCCCAAATCTGCCATGGACCCCCGTACCGCCTGGTCACGCTGCTGCTGGGCCCACAGTGTGACCTGGGTCCCTGTACCGCCTCCCATTGCTCCCACTCTGCCATGTGCCACTTTCAGGTCTCCTCACACTCCTGCTGGTTTCCATTTTGTCATAGGTTGCTGTATGGCCTCCCATTGCTGCTGCCTCCACCGCCACACTGTGGCTCCAAACACTGGTTTTGGCCCCGTGACTGGCCAAATGAGTGAAGTGTGCGGTGATTCTAAGATCGACGGCACTCATCTGCATGTCATACTGAGTGACAGTATTATTTCTCTTCCCCAGCAGACTCCAAGGGCATTTAAATTAAAGGTACAGTGTTCTGCACTAATATTAAGTCTCTCTGAAGCCTAGAAACACCCTTTTTTAAGTTAAATTCACAGCGAATTTATTCGACTCGAATCGAATATTGTCCACGAATTCGCCGAATCAGTCGAATCGAATTTTTCATTTCTTCGCTGAAAGTGGTACAGGAGGAAGTGGCTGTTGGGGATGGAGTGGTAGGAGGAGTGGAGGAGATCGGCAGTTAGGTGAGGGTGGGGTAGGCTTCCCATGTTAACAAAAAAAGCAGTGAAATTATGTTTCCTTTCTCCTTATTTGCTATGGGGAGCCCTAGCAAAACTGACAGGCTTGGCAGCCTGTCAGTCCTGTAATGTAAACGCACAGCAAGTGCTTGTAGGCTGTAATACTAAAAGTAACATTAGAAGATGCATTACTCCACAGTACAAGCAGCTAGAGAGGTCAGTGAGGTTGATTTTAAAGCTCTTGTTACTATTATGTAGGCACTTAATTTTTCATAGTCTCAGCAAAGGTTCACTTTAAAATAAAATCATCTCAGCTATTTTTGAGTCCTTACAGATTTCCTGTAAAACAATCCAAAATGTTAAATGCTATTTGAAATGAAAGATCCTGCTGCCTCCTGAATGCCTTTCTTTTTCTTCTGGACAGCCTCCTATGGCAGTTGTTTGGCCTTAGGTGGGCAGCCATGGGTGGTAAAACCACAGATCTACTGTCTATTATTATTGTCCCCCAGTCACCTGTGTGAAAGAGACCTTACTGTCATAGCTGCACATTGTACCGGCTGTGCATGTATAGCCCACATACTGTAACCATTGTCCATCCTTTGGTCATGTATTTTGAGGATTGCCATATTTTGCCTAGGTATTGTCAAATTAGAGTTTTTGTTTAGAGCAGGTGTCTCCAAACTTTTTGAAGAAAAGTCCAGTTTACTGTCTTTCAGACATTGGTGGGGCTGGATTGTGGCCATTGGAAGTAGAAAATGCCCCAGAGTCAATGTAAATAATGCTTCAGGCTTGGTGGTCAGTGGGAGTAAAAAAATTACTTAGCACCTGTGGTTAGCTGGAGGAGAACTAGTGTCCCGTTGTTGGTATTGGAGGGAGGAATAGTGCCCTATCATTGGTATTAGAAGGAAGAATTGTGCCCCATTCTTGGTGTCTCATCATTGGTGTGATAAATAGTGCCACAAGGAATGGATAAAGGCATACAAAGGGCTGCATTTTGGAGACCACTGGTTTAGAGAACCATATTACTATAATATATCCTATTCAAATACAAGAGGCATTTTGAATTTCACTCCCCCTTCCAGCCAGCCCAGTTCTCTCAATAAAGATAACGGCTGAATGCCCTTTTCTCACTACTAATTTAGGAAGAGATACTATTTATGGTGAAAGGTTTTTTTTTTATAAGAACAGTTCTTCCTCTAATGTTTCTGCAAGTTGCAATAATAATGCAGAGGAGGATGCTTGACGTTGACTTAATTTCTTGTGTCTGAAACAGATTGTCGCAATTTATTAACACATGCGATCTGCCCACCTTAAGAGGAAAAAAATAAAAGAAATGTGCCATCTTTTGAAGCTGCCTTCCTTTTCCACAAAATTAGCAGCGTTGCATAAGAAATGGTTCATTTTGTGCTGGGAAGCTGCTTTCCCTCGATATTTGCATATATACATATGTAAACACACTAGCTGGGAGCTACCATATTGGGAATAATGTGTGAAGAATGCCAAGTTGAATTGTACTCCCCTTATGAAACATGTAATTGTAAATCTTCCATTCTGTCAGACTGTGGCAAATGTTTGGCATGTTTATAAATGTTAGAGTGTGTCGGTTTTTTAAAGGAATACTCCAATGGAATTGCAAGGCTGAATTTCAGACAAACAGCTAAATGCATAGTGGAAACGTATATTTGTGTTAACTGCCATAGGGTTCGCATTTCTGTCCATCCAGTCCTGAGATTTACACTGCCCTGCAAGACAGCAATGCCATCTTGGTGACTTTTCTCAGCAGCAATTAAGCAACATATCTAGGTCACCACTTTGCCCCCTGGACTATGATTGTACAGTGAAAGAGCAGCAACAGACTGATTTGGCCATCTTCCTGCTCTCTCCTGCTGCTAGTATGTCCCTTGTAAGCACATGTGAATGCAGTACTGCTGTACTCATTCCCAGTCTAAGTGCTAGTATTACAGGGGAAAGCAAGAGGGCTGAAATGTAGTCAAACTTGGGTAATTATACTAGCTGTGTTTATTGATTTTTATTTATTTATTCATTACAGGTACTTATATAGCGCCGGTCAATTTACGCAGCGCTTTACATATATATTGTACAATCTAAACTCCCTAACTTACATTCATACATACACATACTAGGGGGAAAGGAGTCAATTTACCTACCAGCATGGGGAGTGTGGGAGGAAACTGGAGTACCTGGAGGAAACCCACGCAGGCACAGGGAGAACATGCAAACTCCAGGTAGGTGGAGTGCCCGTCATTGCTGCCAGTCAGTGCCAGTCAGTGCCACTAACAGTGTCAGTCAGTGCCACCTATCAGTGCCAGTCAGTGCCGCCTATCAGTGCCACCTATCAGTGCCATATATGAGTGCTGCCTTTTCAGTGCCCATCAGTGATGTCTGTCAAAGCCCATCAGTGCCACCTACCAGTGCCTCCTCATCAGTGCTCATCAGTGCCACCTATCAGTGTCCATCAGTGCAGCCTATCAGTTGCCCATCACTGCAGCCTCATTAGCGCACATCAGTGAAGGAGAAAAATCACTTATTTACAAAATTTTATAACAAAAACTAAGAAAAAACTTTTTTTTTTCAAAATTTTCAGTGGTTTTTGGTTTGTTTAAGAAAAAATTAAAACCCCGAGGTGATTAAATACCACCCAAATAAAGCTCTATCTGTCACACACAAAAAAATGATAAAAATTTCATATGGGTACAGTGTTGCATGACCGCGCAATTGTCATTCAAAGTGCAACAGCGCTGAAAGCTGTAAATTGGCCGGGACAGGACAGGGGGGGTATAAGTGCCCTGTAGATTAGTGGTTAAACAAATTGTCCAGAGGATAAAAACTACAATAGCTGCTGAGTGGCTCAGAATTACACCCTGGTTGCTGTCTTTGTCAGTGAGCACCAATATTGTCAAAATCCCTATTTTCTGATTGATCCTGAATCTAAACCTGCAAAATGTTAGTTAGCATTCTCAGGTTTGGCCTGAGCTCTGTAGTTTTAAGAATAACACTGTGATTAGCCTGCTTAAAGGAAATTTTGTTGTGAGAGAAAAGCAACAGCTGCCATTGTAGCCTTCTCTTTCTGAAAATGGCAGTTACCTGGCAGTAATAGTGAACCTCAGGCTTCACTGACCGTAAACCATTATATGCAGATAAGGACTTTTGTCTTTCCTTTATTCTCCTAATATGCAATCACTAGAGATGAGCGAATCGAACCAGGCGAAGTGGAATTCGATACGAATTTCAGGAAAAATTTGATTCGCGTCGAATCCGAATATTTGCCTACTTCGGGTGCGCGAATCGGATTTTTCCCGATCAGCCGGCAAAAGTGTCCCTGCAGAGAGCTCCGCTATTTCTGACAGTTGTCTGACAGTTCCTTCACATGTACAGCGGTTGAAACATTGTATCTATTTGTTTCCATTTAGGATACAGATGGAACCATTTATGGAAACAAATAGATACAAAGTTTCAACCGCTGTATGGAGGGAATGTCACAGAACTGTCAGAAATAGCGGAGCTCTGCAGATACACTTAGCGTAGCTCTGCAGATACACTTTTTGCCGGCTTGGAATTCTTCTTATTTTCATCCTACTTCTTCTTCTTCTTCTTCTTCTTCCTCTTCATCCTCATGCTCATCCTCTTCTTCTTCTTCTGAGGATGAGGATGAAGAAGAAGAAGAAGAAGAAGAAGTAGGATGAAAATAAGAAGAATTCCAAGCCGGCAAAAAAGTGTATCTGCAGAGCTCCGCTAAGAAATAGCGGAGCTCTGCAGATACACTTTTTGCTGGCTTGGAATTCTCCTTCTTCTCATCTTTCTTCTTCTTCTCATCCTTCTTCTTCTTCTCATCCTTCTTCTTCTTCTCATCCTTCTTCTCATCCTTCTCCTTCTTCTCATCCTTCTTCTTCTTCTCATCCTTCTCCTTCTTCTCATCCTTCTTCTTCTCATCCTTCTCCTTCTTCTCATCCTTCTTCTCATCCTTCTCCTTCTTCTCATCCTTCTTCTCATCCTTCTCCTTCTTCTCATCCTTCTCCTTCTTCTCATCCTTCTCCTTCTTCTCATCCTTCTCCTTCTCCTTCTTCTCATCCTTCTCCTTCTCCTTCTTCTCATCCTTCTCCTTCTTCTCATCCTTCTCCTTCTTCTCATCCTTCTTCTCATCCTTCTCCTTCTTCTCATCCTTCTTCTCATCCTTCTCCTTCTTCTCATCCTTCTCCTTCTTCTCATCCTTCTCCTTCTTCTCATCCTTCTTCTCATCCTTCTCCTTCTTCTCATCCTTCTTCTCATCCTTCTCCTTCTTCTCATCCTTCTTCTCATCCTTCTCCTTCTTCTCATCCTTCTCCTTCTTCTCATCCTTCTCCTTCTCCTTCTTCTCATCCTTCTCCTTCTTCTCATCCTTCTCCTTCTTCTCATCCTTCTCCTTCTTCTTCATCCTTCTCCTTCTCCTTCTTCTCATCCTTCTCCTTCTCCTTCTTCTCATCCTTCTCCTTCTCCTTCTTCTCATCCTTCTCCTTCTCCTTCTCCTTCCTCATCTCCAAGGGCATTTAAATTAAAGGTACAGTGTTCTGCACTAATTTAAAGGCTCTCTGAAGCCTAGAAACCCTTTTTATAAGTTAACTTCGTAGCGAATTAATTCGCATCGAATCGAATTTCTTCCTGAAATTCGGCGAATCGGACGAATCGAATTTTTGAATAATTCGCTCATCTCTAGCAATCACATTTGCTTGGTTTAGTCATTCAGAAAGTTATAATGTGGGCAGCACAGCGGCTAAATGGTTAGCACTTCCACCTGGCAGTACTAGGGTTGTCGGTTCGAATCTCAACCACGGCACCACCTGCCTGGAGTTTGCATGTTCTCCCTGTGCCTGCGTGGGTTTCCTCCCACACTCCAAAGACATGCTGGTAGGTTATTTGGCTCTTGTCTAAATTGTCCCTAGCATGTGTATGTATGAATATAAATTAGGGACCTTAGATTGTACACCCCTTGAGGGTTAGGGACTGATGTGAATGTACAATATATATATGGAAAGTGCTGCGTAAACTGACAGTGCTATATAAGTACCTGCAATAAATAAATAATGCTAGAGACAGCCAGGTGATTAGTATTTTCTGTAGTTTTTCCTACATGTTTCGTCGGATTAAGGGACTGATAATGTAAAGTTTGTGTCATGCTTGCAAAAAAATAAAAAAAATGTCATGGCAACATAGAGTGCAAAATGAATTACGGAAACCTGGCATGAGGGAAACAGGGAGGTTGCCATTTCTGATCTCTCCTACTGAAAATCCTAGTTGCCTGACTGGCATGCTGATGCTTTGGCTTCACTGAACAGTATAAAGAAACCAGACTGCTCCTGCTCTTATTTGCCATATACCTGATCCCAGGGGCTGACTGACAACTCATGGGGCCCTCGGGCAATAGGAAATAATGGGGCCCCTGTGTCCTTGCCCAAACTCAAAAAAGCCTATGAAAAAGGTACCAGGGGCATCTCATGGGGGCCCCTACTGACCCCGGGCCCTTGGGCAGTGCACAAGTTTCCAAATGGTCAGTCTGCCCCTGCCTGATCCAGAACAGCGATTTCGTCCCCGGTCACTCTGATCCAACTTTAAAATCGTGCTCAGTGAAGTCGCATGATTTCAAATTCGGATGTCATTGCGACTTGAGATGTAACTTGCAGGACCTCTGCTGCTTGCAAGACACAGATGTCTATGCAAGTCGCACCTGAAGTAATGCATGCACTACTTTAGAAATCGATGCGGCTCCGGCCAAGTTGGAATCACACTGATATGACCGCTTTAATTGCGGACAATAGTGTGCGACTTGCCATGTGATTTGAAACTCGCATGGCATGGCAAATCGCACGGCAAGTCGCACCTGGTGTGACCGGGCACTTCCTGTAGATGTATTGAACCCAGACAAAGCCAAGCAAATAGGATTTTCAAAAGAGGGTCTGACGGGTTTTCCTTAATTTGAATCCAAATGACTCAATTAAATGTATAATATTTATTTATTAAAGGTACTTATATATCACCAACAATTTTTGCTGTACATATACTGTACATGCACAACAGCCCCTACCCTCAAAGAGATTACAATCTTAGGTCCCTAACTCACATTCATACATACACATACTAGGGCCAATTTGGACAGGAGCCAATTAACCTATTAGCATGTTTTTGGAGTGTGGGAGGAAACCAGAGTACCTGAAGGAAACCCACGCAGGCACAGGAGAAGCATGTAAACTCCAGGAAGGTAGTGCTGTGGTTGGGGTTCAAACTGATGACCCTAGTACTGCCAGACAGAAGTGGTAACCATTTAGCCACTCTAATGATGAAATAATCTTTCTGATCTCAGGAGAGATGAAGTCATTGCTAGATAGAAAATACAGCTTAATTAGTGTATTTACTGGCTGGAGTTGCTCTGGAATATCCAATCATTTGATGTGCTCAGCTAAGCAATAAGCACAAAAAGTTAGACTTGGAGAAGAGAGAATGGACGAATGGTCTGCATGACTAAGGGAGGAACAAGGCCAGGGAAGGGTCATTTATGTTAGTTTAAATTGGAGGGGGTGCGCTCCTTACCTTATTGGAAGCTGTAGGCCAGAGGGGCATGGTTCAGCGACAAGGGGTCCAGGCAGGATAGGTTGTTCCAAAAGTTCAGGCGGCGGGCTGACCATTCGAGCACTCGGGCACTGCTCGAGGGCCCGGGGTTAGTAGGGGGCTCCATGAAATGCCCTTGGTACCTTTTTTATAGGCTTTTTTGGGTATGCTTTGAGTGTGGGCAAGGTCACAGGGGCCCCATGATCCCCTATTGCCCGGGGGCCCCATGAGTTGTCAGTCTGCCCCTGATGAAGAGGAATCTTCCCTGCCTCCCATCCTTGCATCTGGGGTTACTGAGGTTGTTCTGGGTTGGGTAATGCATTTTGTGTTTCGGACTTCGTCAGCACATTAAAAAAAACAAAAACGAACAATACCAGCAAATATATTACTGTTATCACTTGTCACAGCAGCTTAGCGGGTCAGGGGGTCTTTGGGGTGTCAGTGATTAATGATATTGTTACAAAATTATGGGGCCCATCTAGGGTATGGAGTTTCCACTTGGTTGGATATTGGTGGTTCTCCCAGGAGCTAGGTCCCCTGGGGGAAAATGGAAGAATGGGTGAGGTCGTAACGACTTTGAGCCCGTTGGGGCACGGCTGAAGACATGGAAGATTTTAGTTAAAATTGTGCCTTAAGGACACCCAAAGACCCTTTGCTGGTTGCATTGGTAGAATTGCACTGTTGAATTGTAATTATTTTATGTTTATTGTGGTATTATTTATTAATCGGGTAATACATTTACTGCTGTGGTCATTTAAAACCCATGGCACGCAGTCTGTGTCGTTATTGTACGGGTCGAAGGACATAGGTTGATGAATCCTTTAGTCATGCAATTTCCAGGTAAAGCAACATGTATATTTAATGGGCACCAAGTTACTATTGGCGCATGTTTCTTATTCTTTGATATGACTTCTAACAAGT